CCTTTGTTTAATTCTGGGTTCTTCACGGTGGCGATGGAGTGCTTCCTTCGAATGCTTGCGTCGAACTTGCTCTCCGTTGACGATCCGATGTCTTGTTTCACTGGAATGTGGTCTTCTCCTCACGATTTGATGTTGTGGAGAACTCTGAACGAGTTTAAAACTCTATGAAAGAGTTGATTTAACCGAAAGTCGGTTATAAGCCAAGTATGAAGAAGATCGTGTTGCCGATCTCCAAAGCTCCAGAAATGCTCTAAAGATCCTGTTGACGAGCCAAGAAGTTCCAACTGACCGCCCCCGAAAGATCCAGCCCAGAACTAAGTTGATTTCTTAGTTATTTATAGGGGATTAAGGGGTGTAACCACCTCCTTAATTCGCTCCTAAGTGGGGCTAATGCGATGTAACCGCCCCTTAAATCACTCCTGAGTGGAGTTATGATCCCCTCAGATCGTGGGAAATGGTTTTGAAACCGTTCAACTCGTGTTTGAACGAGTCAAACGCAGATCCTGCATTCTGGCATGAATTCTGTGTCCAAACGCAGTGTCTGGAAGCTTGAACGCAGTGATTGGAAGCTGCGTTTGCAGCGGATGAAAGCTGCGTTTGGCAGCGGTATAGAGTTGCGTTGGACAGCGCTTGGAGCTGCGTTGGGCAGTGTCGGGCGGCGAATAGAGCTGCGTTGTGCAGCGATATTGAGCTGCGTTGTGCAGCGATGTTGAGCTGCGTGGGCGGCGAATAGAGCTGCGTTGTGCAGCGATATTGAGCTGCGTTGTGCAGCGATGTTGAGCTGCGTCGTGCAGGGATGTTGAGCTGCGTCGGGCAGCGATGTTGAGCTGCGTCGGGCAGCGAATAGAGCTGCGTCCAGTGGCGATTTAAGCTGCGTTTGCAACTTTTGGAGTTGCATTTGAGCTGCGTTCGTGGCTATGAACACGGTCTGTCAGCGATTAGAGCTGCGTCTGGGTTGCGTTTGCAGCGATTTGGAAGCTGCGTTTGAGCTGCGTTCGTGGCTATGAACGCGGTGCGTCTTGATGCTGGTGTGCGGGGAGGACTTCCGCAGCTTGATTTGAAGAGACCGTCGATTTGTAGTCTCTTTCTGTCGAAGCGTTGCAAAGATCGTCATTTTGTAATCTTTACTTTAGCTCTTTGATATGCAAGAGTCGTCAGATTGTAACTCTCGATGTTGATGGTGAAGGCTGTTAAACTAGAGCTCTCATCGGTTGTCGTGAAGGTCGTCAGATTGTAACCTTCAGCGATCTACGTGAAAGTCTTCAAATTGTAGCCTTCTGGAAGTCGTCAGATTGTAACTTCCATTATCGGTGTTTGATGGGGATCAGCTATCTATTGTGATTTTTAGACAGCCTACACCATGCATGACGAATGACCCGTTACAATATATGTTGTTAGTTGGCAGGTTTTGTAGGGAAGTTTACAGGTTCTTTGAAGTGGTTGATTTGGAATTTCTGGAAAGTGGTGTCACCATATAATTAATAATAAAAAAGTTTTATTAACTGCCAAGCTAGGGGTCAGAGCCCAGAGCATCTGATTGATTTATACTTGCAATTTTTCTGGGTTTGTAATCTCAAAATCTACGGTCTTCACCTTTTACTATCCTCTTTTTGTGTTGCTTGGGATTTGCCTAGTTAATCTATGCCACCAGTGTTAGACCCTAGAGGGGGGGTGATTAGGGTCTTATGCTAATCTAATCCGATTATATGCCAATTAAAATAATTAATAAGTTATCCTAGCAAGTATGAAATACAACAATGTATATAAGCTAGGATAAGCAATATGAACAACAAGATATATCCTAACAAAGAGATATAGGCAAGTATGTGCAAGGATATATAAACTCAAGGGTTGCAATCACACCTCACACACTAAGTGTTGGTCCTAGCCCGTGTCCTCCTCCTCAAGTGCTCGGTTACAACCTCTCCCTAGGCACGTCAACCGACGTCACTCCTCTTGGGACGATCCCCGACTCTCACCACACACTCCTCTCGGTGTACAAGTGTATTACAAAGTGTATCTCACAATAAGCTACAATATAAATCAAATGATTGTTCTCTCTAACAAGGTGAGAACTCAATTAAGCTCACTCTCAATGTCACAAACCCACAATCCTAAATTATACTATGAATGTAAATACAATAAGCTCAATAGGTTGTGTGTGAACAACGAGATAAAACAATATAAACTCAATATGAAATCTAGCTTATGAAATTAAGAACAAACTTATAAAATGCTAGAATTGAGTTTAAGGAAACTTCTCTATAGATGACAAGAGAGAGGGAGAAGAATGAATGCTCAAACACCAAAGGATGATCTCCACTTGCTCTTGTGAAATTTGCTTCACAAACAAAACCCTTAAACACTCTTTTAAACTTGGTTAAAACACCCTTAAACTTGTTTAAATAATTCTCTTGGTTAGGTTGAAAGAGAACAGCAATATGGTATTTATACCCACTCAAAATCTCAGCCAAACCCCCAAGTAAAAGTCCAAAAAGCCCAGAAAAAATCAGCTCAGGAAATAGCCGTTGGGAAAGCAACGGTAATATAGGCGGTCGACCGGAAATTCTATCGGTCGACCGACGGAGAGCAAAAACCCGAAGAAACAATCTGGACGGTGCGGTCGACCGATGGAGCTTTCGTTCGACCGGACCGGTCGACCGACCAACTCTCTGTTGCCCAGTGATGAAAGATCAAATGATCGGTCGACCGGTGCGGTCGACCGAAATCTGACACATGAAAAACCTGATATGCTGATTTTAAAAAGCTGCTTAAAAATATCAAATAAATTTTAAAAAATGTAAAACTTTGGGGAATAATTGTAGACATGATACTAAACATGCTACAGTGACTGGTTATCAGAAAGGACTTCCCAAATGTAAAATATCATCATTTTGCAAGGAGGTCCAAAACACAAAAATATAAACACATGAGTTTTGACATTTTAGCTAAACCATGTTTTGAAACAATGCAAAATGATTTTATAGACTTAATAGAAGATGTAAACTATTGTTATGAAGTCTATAAATAGTGAATATAGTATTTTATCAAAATACACATATAATACACTAAAACATGATTTCATGGAACTAAATAAAATTGATATTGATGAAATCATATAAATGTATTAAGTATGAAACAAAAATATGTTTTCCAATTGTATTCAATTGTTTCATAGTAAAACTTAAAAACTATCAAACCAAAACATATATGTATATATATAACTATATATGTACATGGAAACCAATAAATGTGTGTGTGTGTATGATATTGAGCTTAAAGTACCAACACACATAATATAAACTCCTAAACTAAATTACCCAAGCAATCTTGATCTTCAATTAAGCTTGACTTGGTACACTTGCGGATGAAGCTTGAACTTGATCTTTAACTTGAATAATATAGGCTTCAACCCGATATTCCGCCAACCTCCTTTGGATATCATCGTTGAAGCGCAATCCATCCAACCTCCAACTACGTTGTTTGTCTACAATACATAGGAATACACAAACAGTAGACAAACAACATTAGTAGTAAATTGTTTATAAATCATCATCAAAACAAGGAGGCCAATAACCAGGACTCGATGTTGGGTGGGAGGAGGAAAAAACTTATGTAGTTTTCTTGAGACGAAAGAAGTGGTGCACGTCTAGACCTAACATGAACTATTATTAGACCTAACATAAACTATTATTAGACATAACATGAAATGAAATTAGACATAACATGAACTGAAATTAGACCTAACAGTATTAGACCTAACATGAACCGAAATTAGACTTAATGTGAACTGAAATTAGACTTAACATGAATTATTATTAGACTTAATATGAACTGAAATTAGACCTAATATGAACTATTATTAGACTAACATGAACTGAAACTAGACCTAAAAGTAACTATTATTAGACCTAACATGAACTAAAATTAGACATAACATGAACTATTATTAGACATAACATGAACCGAAATTACACTTAACATGAACTATTATTAGACTTAACATGAACTAAAATTAGACCTAACATGAACTATTATTAGACTTAACATGAACTGAAATTAGACCTAACATGAACTCTAAATAGACCTAACATGAAAAAATAGAGGTGATAAGAGCATTTTAGGATTTTGTACTTTTTATCTTTTTTCTATGCTTAGTTGGCGGGTAATAATTGCTAAAAGAGGGCTGCAGCACATGATGTGACACCTATTGGGGCTGAACCACATGGAAAAAAGTGAAGGGGCTGCAGCACATGAAGATATTGCTTTTGGAGCATTAACACAATTTTCCCTAATAACAAAGATGATTTTATTCCTAAATTGACTCAATTGTATCTGCTTCTGATGTATTTTGTGAGCCTTGAGGGGAGGAAGAAGATTTAAGAAGTAGACTTTTCTTCTCAGAAGTGACAGAAATAGCGCCTATTTCATCAACTTCACCTACTTTTTATGCGTGGATGTGTAGGATATGATTGCAAATCTCAGCAGCATGCACAGAATGTTGGCAGTCCCTATTCCCCTCCTATATATGTTTGATTTTTTAGCCTTGAATAGGAAAATATTCGGCGACACCGTCGACCCGTCGATGAGCGAAGACATCCACGATGCATAAAAGTGTCTTCTTATACATATTTCATTATAATAATTTGTTTCCCAAATCTCGTAATCGTTTCAAATTTAGGTCACTACTTGTCAATTTTTTTTCTCTCAATTGGAGGGACTAATTTGAAAACAGTTTTAAGAATCGGGAGACCCGAGTGCCGTTATAGGGACCCTAAAAATAGGGGGCATCCCTATAAACAGTACATCACGGGACATAAATGCGACACCTCACCATTCCAATTCAGAGTCCCCTATTTTTGGGGTCATCTCGAGGCATTTTTCTTTCAGCATAACTCAAGAATCGGACCACATAATAGGAGGGAATGATTTGAGGGACTAAATTTAAATTACAGGGGGTGGGGGGAAAAAATGTGAACACCCTGTAGTACGCTTGGGCTGAGAACCTCAGAAAGAGATGCAGCAAACAAAAATTTTGTGTGGCCTTCAACGTCCCCTCAAAACTTCTCTCACCGCCGGTCTCCGCATCGCAGCGTGGCCGTCTCCGCTCCTCTCAAAACCCTAACAAAAAGGCCCCATATTTCTAGGGTTCCAACGAAAAAACTGACACTCTCACGATCGCTCGCTCAATGGCGACGAGCTTCTCCTTGCGATCCAGCCACTGCCCCTTCTTCAAGCTCCCCTCGCACCGTTTCTCGACCGCCCGTCGCTTCTCCCGATCCGTCGATGCTAGGGCTCCTGTTGCTCGAAGGAAACCGAGGGGTCGAGTTGTTGCCAGGCTTCAGCTCGAAGATTCGGAAGGCAAGGGTTTGGCTGAGGGGGAGGAGTTGAAAGCCGATCGGGAGGGAGAAGGGAGTTTGGCGCTGGACGTGGAAAGCGAAGGCTTTGATTTGCGGAGGTTGCCGATGAGGTACAAGCTCATCGCCACGACTTCTCTCGCGTTTGTTATCTGCAACATGGATAAGGTATGATCTGGGAGCTACTTCTGCTAATCACGTAGACGACCAAAGTTGCACTTAATGTGCATCGAGGGGCTAATGCTTTTCTTTGGAGGTTCGCGTGCGGTTAAGTTTACCTCCACCATAAATTTCGACTAAAACACTATAAAATTGACTTCTTGTGGCACCCTCCTCACTCAGTTGCCCAAGTTGTTGACTGAAGTATTGAACTTCTTTTGATTGAAAGTGGGTCTTATTAGTGAACATTTAGCACTGTGCATCTGTATCTGTATCTTTGACAAAGAGGATGCCCATGTTTGTCATAGTATGGATATGGAATGGAACATGTGTTGGATTTTTTTTATCCATACATCCGTAGTTGAATAGAGAAGGAAGTAAAGATTACTATTTTAAGTAACAAAATGGAACGGGTAGAATGGTTATTCAATCTGTTTATGGATTAGCCTCAACCCACAAAAGAAGAAACAGCTAGGATTAACAACAGTTCGCCTAACCCAGCCACTCTTATTTTCTGTTTGGATGTAGTTAAAGCCAATAGTGACAGTTAAAATCCAGATCCAGTTGTTGTCAAATTGGAGTTCAGTGACTTTGCTGAATTGGACATAGCTAGTGCTTTGCTTCAATTTATCCCTAACTGTTTAATTTCCAAGTTTTACTGGCAAATATTCACGACCTTTCTAGTAGTTCAACTATTCTTGTTCCATTTGTTATTTACAGATGCTTAATAGTCTATTTGATGCACAGGTCAATTTGAGTATTGCCATAATTCCCATGTCGCATCAGTTTGGGTGGAACTCCTCAACTGCTGGCCTTGTCCAGTCTTCTTTCTTTTGGGGCTACGCCTTGAGTCAATTACCTGGTGGATGGCTTTCTAAGATATTTGGTGGAAGGTTGGTTTTGAGCAAACATGCATTATGCTTAAAGTTAAACGAGAGCAAAATTTGGGTCATCATGTTCAATGTTAAATGAGGATAAGGTTTGAGCCATAAAGAAGACTTTCGTTTTATTTTTGGCTTGCTTTTTGGTTGATGCCTCTCCTTGAGCCTGTGAAGATGCTCTCTAATTATGCTAATGTTTACTGAATGGTGTAGATGAAAATTTTAGACTCCTGAGGGAACTTAGGTGAGGTCTAAGGCTATGAGTTCAGAGTTATAGTGTCATGCTTGTAGCATCGTTAGAGTATTGATTGTTAGTTTAGAGAATATCAGAAAATCTTCATTTTCATGGTCTTTAAGATGATATTAGGTACAATTATAGTGAGCTTAAGAAAGTGAATGTGGTTTTCATTTGGTAGCATGATATGACCACCACGGGGCCAATATTGATCTGAAAGGGTTTGGTTGCAGTCATCTTATTTCAGTTTTTGAGCATTTCTCCTCATCTAATTTTCTGGTTCAGTCATGTATCGTTTTTTTAAATATAATGGCTGTCGTATTCACTATTCAGTTGATTCTTTTCTTAGAACTTAGTAGTCATTACATGTTTATGCTGATTACTCATTCATAATGCAGGGATGTCCTAAAATTAGGGGTCCTGGCCTGGTCTTTGGCCACGATTCTCGTTCCCTTTGTAGCTGGATTCATGCCTGGGCTTGTATTATCGAGAATTTTGGTATGTGATGCACTGTCTCATGTCCGTTGACCTGGTTACTTTTTTGATTTGCCGGCTATGTAATTTGATTTTCCGCCTATGTATGTCCGTTGACCTGGTTACCTTTTCTGTTTTGCCGGCTATGTAATTTGATTTGCCGCCTATGTACGGTAGAGACTTTTAGATTTTTCTCGACAAGTTATTTGCCATAATGTTCATAATCTTACGTAGCGGGTGGGTGGGATGAATAGATAAGAAAGGGCAAAGTGTGGCTATTGAAAATATTGTGTGCTATTTATTCATCTTTTACTTATATTTATAAGGCCATGATTGTTAAGAAGATTTACACCTGAACCTGAAAATGCAGTGTAGTTTTTTAGAGTAATGAAACCCAGCCAGAATATACAGTCTAGTTCAGATTTTTCTCTACCAATCGAGTGGAGGTCTTTATTAAACTTCCATATTTATTTTCATTCCCAATGGTACAAGCATCCAATTGTTGAAACTTTAAACCTACATGGTATTCTTTTCAATGAAACATGAAATTTCTTGTCAATCCATATATAATATATGCCCAAGTTCTCCAAAGAACATTACTAATATATTATCTATGTTTAGATCTGGATGGTCTGGGGAGGGTTTTTAATTATGGGGTAATGGGTTTGTCTGAGTCTGATGGTGATCCACCTGTTTGAATTCAAATAAGTTCCGAAGCTGTCTTGTAGGCGTAATTTATGGGTTGGGTCATGTTATTTGGTGTCCAACGCTGGTCAACAACCTTGTACCGTAATATGCATTATGTTGATCCACTTATATGACTTAACATGTTCACATTTTAACTGTATATTAATAATGAGCTGGTCTTTATTTCCCAATCTTCAGGTCGGGATAGGAGAGGGTGTTTCCCCTTCAGCTGCCACTGATATGATTGCCAGGCAAGATATAAAATTCGGTGTGATATCTTCCATGAATTCTTTCACAGCTAGTTTCTTTTCATTTTTTTATTTTCTTTGACAAACTCCCCATAAATGCATTAGTTATGACCCCTGAGCACTCAATTTCTAGAAGAGGTATTGGAGCATATAACCTGAAATGTTTAAAAGCAACAAACAAATATAGGAAAGGACATCATGGATACCTAAGTCCTACAGCAAAAACCACCATGTAAATTAACATCAGTGTATCACAATACACACATAAACATGTAGTGTAACCAAGAACAATGCAGTATGCCTTACACCCTTAAGCATGCAGTGCAATTGTGCATTGTTTTTCAGCACCTGTGAGCATTTAATCATAATTCTAATATCAGTGAGTTTCTCACCTAGCTCACCCTGTAGAAATATTGTGCAAGTGGTATTTAATTTCTACATTCTGGTTGTTTGGATTTGAATAACATATATTGTTTACTTACTGTTCCATGCTATTGGTTTAAATGCAGATCTATACCTTTACAAGAACGCTCAAGAGCAGTTGCTGTAGTTTTCGGCGGCTTAAGTGTTGGAAGCATCTTGGGGTATGTCCTTGAATATTGTAACAAACTGGTTCCTGTGCTTCTCTGTTCAACGCGACTCTTCCATGTCAGCTTAGTCAATATTCAGTATTTTAATAGAAAGATGCACACTTTTGAAGAAAAATTTGTGTACAATTATTTGAAGCATAAAAGGACCAGATAACTAATCTCAGCTATAATGATTCAGAATAGTATAATTTAAAAAGTTTACAAATTTAGTCTCATGACTGTTACGTGTGCATATGGGGCTCCAGTTCTATTCATCCTTTTGGCTGCTCATTTTAGATGAGTTCAATTCTCCACAACACATCTTTTTATCTTCCTGGTCTAGACTCATTTTTACTGCCAGAATATTGGTTGGAAGGTAGCTCTCCATTTGTATGAACCTAATTTGACAACTAAGAATATGTTTAAGGAGTAAGAAGTAATAACTTATGTATTTTGTCATTTAGTTTGTAACACTGAATAAACCTGCAGGCTTCTGCTGGCTCCTTCTATTATCCAGACTTTTGGCTGGGAGTCTGTTTTCTACGTATTTGGTGTCATTGGTATAGTCTGGTGAGTTGACATTTATAGAACATCAATTAGTTATTAATCCATATTTGAAATATTGATTGTTCTTTGTTTCCTAACAAATGAAGTTCATTGTGTCCTTTCATTCTCACTTCTTGTCCTTTTAGGTTAATTGATCAAACTAAATGAAATTCTCAGTGTAGCTCTGAAGATTTAACAGCTCTTTACTATTGCTGTCATTGTCCACCCTAGGTGCCTGGTTTTTGAGTTTGTTAAAGGGGGGAATTCTCCACTTTCTGGTGGACACATCTTTGGTAAGTTTCTTACGTTTTTGTATTCCTATACTCCTATCGCACATAAATAGTGTGTTCCATGAATATATGACACTCTTGAAGACTTGAACTTATAATATAATTGTTTTATTTCAGATACAAGACAATGGAGGCTGAACATCGCTAGCCCTTTCTTGACATCGGAATCTCAAACAAAGTCATTGAATGAACCCTTTAAAGAGCTGGCTGACTCACTCAAGGTATTATACCACTTGCTAAATGAGAGAGGCTTGTATGCCATATGTCTTCATGTTTAGACAAGAAGTTCTGATGGTGTCATTTTCTGTGAATTTCTTCTTTACACTCATCAGAAGATACATGCTGAATCTGAACCTTCTTAGCCTATAACTTGAATGACAATGAGATACAAATGTAGTGGCAAAACTGCCGTAGAAAATGATAATATAACATTCCATAAACTGTAAGCTAAAATTTTATCTGTATATAACTTCCTATATATCTTGTACTATATTCTCTACACAATTACAAACAATGCTTAGCCAGGAATTGAGGTAAGCCCATTTTCGAAATTTGCATCCTGTTATATTTCCTTACATTCAACTTAGTGATGGTTCCTGAATAAAAAAAGAAGTCCAAAAATGGTGAAAATTTTCATGTTATGCCTAATTATCTCTTCTATGTTGCAATTTTAAGACGAATGGTCTCCTTATCATTCTCTAAAGAAAATGTCACTTTTAAGTTTGAGGAATATATGACTTATGCAGCATATGGTGACTGCAGCTTTAAGTTAAGCCATCTTTAATAACAAATCATTTTAACTTGTCCAAACAGCAGGCACCAATCTTTAGGAAGAAAGGCAATAAAGTATCTGACAATTTCAACTATTTTATGTGTACGTGGATAGAAACTCTTAGACATTGAAAGTTTTGTAATACTTATGATGCATCATGTTATCAACAATTATCTCATTACCTCTTTCTTACATAGGATGTGCCATGGATGGAATTTTTCAAAAGCCCGGCGGTGTGGGCTATGATATATGCTCATTTTTGTGGAAGTTGGGGCCATTATACCTGTTTATCTTGGCTTCCTACTTATTTTAGGTAACTAGCTTCATGCTTTCTCTCGTTATTTCTTGGAAAACGTGTAAAGTTGTCTCTTAGGGATATGTATTTGGATTAACAATTAGGCATTGAAGTTGAGGAGATAGGAAAGAAGAAAAGTGAGCTTAGTTTGCAAGTTTGATAAGAAACTAAAAAAATATAGTATGAATAGCTATAACCAGTGAGCTTAGTTTGCAACTTTGATAACAAACTAAAAAAATATAGTATGAATAGCTATGACCCATAAGTTTTGGCCATTTTCATTGGTTTCAACCCAATAGCAGTTCAGTATATGTAGTTAAAGTTCACAGTATTCATGTGCTAAAACCCATGATTTTTGTACATTTTTGTTTGTTTCAACTCAATAATAATTAACTACACGCACTTCAAATTCACAAATTTCAAGATTATAATGCATGAATTTTGTCTATTTTTGTTCGTTTGATTCACTGACAATTCAGTTTGCATAGTTCAAAATTTGCGGTTTCATAGAATATAAACGTGATTTTTGTATATTTTCGTTCATTTCGCCTCAATGACAGTTTATCTTAAATTATCGATTTTCATGGGCTATAATGCGATTATTGTCTATTTTTGTTCGTTTTGACCCAATGATAATTGATTATGCATATTTCAGAATTCATCATTTTAATGGACAATAGCCTACAATTTTTTGCCCATTTTTGTTTGTTCAACCCAATGGCAAAAGTATGCGTATTTGAAAAGTCATAATTTTCATGAGCTACAACCCATATTCTTTGTCCATTTCATTTCATTTCAACCTAATGACAATTAACTAGGCCTACTTCAAAAACCGCAATTTTCGTGGGCTATCAGCCACTTTTTTATCTATTTTTTTGGTTTCGACCTAATGACAATTAACTGCGTGTATTTCAGAACCCGCAATTTCTTGAGTTATATAACCTACGAATTTTATTCATTTTTTGTTTGTTTTAACCTAATGGCAATTAAGTATGCGCACTTCAAAATTTGATATTTTCATGGGCAGCGAACAATTCTATTTTTATTTGTTTCGACTTTGGCAATTAAGTATATGCATATTCCAAAGTTCATGATTTTCACAGGTTATAATCAATGTCATTGTACATTATCGTTCTTTTTTTTTACCTAATGTAGTTAACTATGTGCATATCAAAATTCACAATTTTCATGGACTAAAGCTCATTTTTATCCATTTTCTTTCATTTTGTCCTAACGACACTGAAGTACATGTACTTCAAAATTTGTGATTCTCATAGGCTATAACCCACTTTTTGTCCATTTTCATTGGTCCTATCCAATATCAGTTGAGGAAGCGTACTTTGAAATTCGTAATTTCATGATTTATAGCCTATAATTTTTATCCATTTTTATTAATTTCGACCCAGTGACAATTTATTATGGGTACTTCAAAATTCTTGATTGTCATGAGCTAACCTACGATTTTTGTTCATTTTCATCGGTTTCCATCCAATGACAAGTAATTATGAATACTTCAAAATCACGATTTTCATTGGTTATAAACTGCGAACGATTTTTTACTATTTTTGTTTGTTTCAACCCAATAACAATTACATATGCACACTTCAAAGTTTATCATTGCCATGAGCTATAACCTATGATTTCTATAAATTTTCTTCATTTCGACCTTATAGTAATTAAGCATACTTCAAATTCCTAATCTTATAGTTATAGCCCATGACTTTTGTCCATTTTCACTTCTTTTGATTAAAAGGCAATTACGTATGCGTATTTCAAAATTTATGATTCGTGGGCATATAACCCACTTATTTATCCATTTTTTGTTTCTGCCCAATCAAAACTAAGTATACATACTTGAAAATTGGCATTTATCATGGGCTCCAACCCATGATTTTGACCATTTTCACCTATGGCATTAAGTACGCGTAGTTCAAACCTATCGATTTACATGGACCATAGCCAACGATTTTTGTGCATTTTCGTTCATATCAACCCAATGACAATTAATTTTGCGTACTTTAAAATTCACGATTTTCATGAGCTATCACCCACTTTTTTTCCTATTTTAGTTGGTTTCAACCCAATGAATATTAAGTATATGTATTTCAAAATTGGCTTTTTTAATGGGCTCTAGTCCATGATTTTTCTCCTCTTGCATTCATTTTGACCTAAGGACAATTAAGCATGTGTATTTCAAAATCATGATTTTTATGGGCTATAACTCATGATTTTTCTTCATTTTTATTGACATTTTGATCTTGTGGCAAATAGGTATGCTTATTTCGAATCATGATTTTCATGGGTTATATCCTGCTTTTTTGTTAGCTTCGACCCAATGGAAATTAAATAGACGTATTTCAAAATTAATGTTTTTCATGAGCTATAACTCACAAATTTTGTTTATTTTTACTTGTTTTGATCGGAGGACAGTTAAGGATGTGTAGTTTTAAAAATTCGCTATTATTATAGACTATAGCTCGCAATTTTCTTACATTTTCATTCATTTCGACCTAATAACGATTAAGTATCCATACTTCAAACTTCATTATTATTATGGGCTATGACCCATGATTTTGTCCATTTTCAATCGCTTTGACCCAATGGAAAAATTAAATGTGTTTCAAAATCTGTGATGTTTATGAGCTATATGCACAATGTTTGTCCATTTTCATTCATTTTTCCTAAATAACAATTAAGAATGTGTACTTTCTGTTGATATCAGTTATCAAACAGGGAATAATTTACATATTTTTGGAATGATTAAGGTCCTCTAACTTCTTCTGATGTATGGCTCTAGGGTTTTTTGTTTTTCCCTGCACAAGAAAGAACTCATAAGAGGCCGGAGTTGCGTTCTTTGGTTGCCCTTCCAATGATCAAGTCAGTAGATGATCTTGAGTGGAAAAATACGGAGTTAGCTATTAGTTGGGTTAAAAACGATCAGAGAGATTTACCTCATGCAGTGCCTCCCCTTTTTATAGTGGTTCCGATGGGCAAAAAGATAATTTGGGCTGAATTCAACTAGGTAGTTGAGTCGGCAGTCAGCTGCTGTAAAAGAGGGGTTGTCTAGGTGTTTCATGCTAAGCGATAGCAGGTGCTTGGTGTTAACAAGGCCTGATAAGTAATAAAGACTTTATTGACTGGAGCAATAATGACTTTGTCAGGGTAGTTAATGCAAGGCCAGACGGCTGTCGGCGCGGAGTTCGAAAAAACTACCAACTCTCTTAGTCGTCCAGCTGATAGTCGACTATACATGTTGATGGTTTGGGCCGAGTGGGGGTTATTTGTAGAGGTGATTGGCCGGGTTGGACGACAAGTACCGCCTTTTATCTCGGTTACGTGAGATGCAACCGAATAGTTGGTCGAGCTGGATTGATCGGGGATTTAATTGAAGGATTGGCGGAGTAGTTGTAGTCTTTTGTCTCAGTTACGCGAGATGTCGGCCGAACAGTTGGTCGGGCTGAGGCAGAGATTATTTTGATTTTGATTTAGCTGTATAAACTGCAAGACGTGTTCACTGTTCAGTGAAGATTAACAATAATATTTTTTAGGGGTAGAAAACTTTCAAATTGCGATTCATAGCCTATGATTTTTGTCCTACTTCATATGTTGCGATCAATAGCGATTAAGTATGCTTTTTCCAAAATTCACGGATTTTAGAGGCTCTAACCCACAAATTTTGTCCATTTTAATTTATTTTGGCCCAATAGCAATTAAGTATGTATACTTTCAAAATCATGATTTTCATGAGCTAAATTAATAACTCACGATTTTCTCTTTTTTTTTACTTTAATCCAATGCCAATCAAGAATGCGTACTTCGAAATTTGAGATATTTTTCATAATTTGTCATTAGCTCTCTAATCCACAAATTTTGTCCATTTTGTTCTTTTCGACCCCATGACAACTAAATACACATATTTCAAAATTCGTCCATTTCATGGATTGAAGCCCATGATTTTTGTCCATTTTTGTCAGTCCCGACCCTATAACAATAAAGTATGCATACTTCAAACTTTGCGATGTTCATATTAGCTACAGCCATGCTCTTTGTCCATTTTGGTTCATTTTGACCATTTGGCAGTTAACTATGAGTACTTTGAATTTCGCGATTCTCATTGGTTATAATTTAATATTTTTGTCATTTTCAGTTCATACCGATGCAATGACAATTAACTGGGTGTACTTCAAAATTTGCGATTTTCGTGGGTTATTACTCACTGTTTTTTGTTGGTTTCGTATGAATGAAAATTAAGTATATGCTTTTCAAACTCGCAATCTTTGAGCTATAGCCATGAGTTTTATCCATTTTTCATTTGTTTCGACTCAATGACAATTAAGTATGCATATTTTAAAATTCGGAATCTTAATGGACTATAATCCATGATTTTTGTGTATTTTAGTCTGTCTCAATCCAATGGCAATTAACTACGCGTGCTTCAAAATTCATGATTTTCTAGACATAGTGCACGACATTTGTCCATTTTCATTTGGTTTTAACCGAATGGCAATTAAATATACGTAGTTCAAATATCGTGGTTTTCATGGGTTATATATAACCCACATTTTTTGTCCATTTTTTGTGCTTATTGACCCTGTGGCAACTAGGTATACGTATTTTAGAACTTATCATTTTCGTGGACAATAGCCCACTGTATTGTCCATTTGGATTTGATTTTACACTAATGACAATTAAGTATGCCTACTTCAAAATTTGTATTCATGATTTTTGTCTATTTTCACTCATTTTGACCTCATGTCTAATAAGTATGTACTTCCAAGTTTGTGATTCTCATGAGCTATAGCTTGCGAATTTTTTTTCTTTTCAGTTCATTTAATCAAATGGAAATTATATGTGCGTACTTTAAAATTTGCAATTTTTAGGGGCTATAACCATTTTTGTCCATTTCTCTTCATTCCGACCCCATATCAATGAACTACGCATCAAAATTCATGATTTTCATCGGTTATAGCTAGAATTGTTGTTCATTTTTGTTCATTTGACCCATTGGTAATTTCCATATATGTATCAACTGATGCTTTCTTAAGGATGTGCGAGTAACAATTAGGCACTGAAGTTGAGGAAGTAGGAAAGGAGAAAAGTGATTTTAGCTTGCAGCCTTGATAAGAAATATAAAGAATAAGGAAAACTTAGGTTAAAATAATTGATAATGTAAATGAGAGTATATCTTACTCCAAGTCATTTTCATGTCATTGTAAGGATGTTCTATAAACAATTAGTCACTGAAGTTGAGGAAATAGGAAAGGAGAAATGTGATTTTAGTTTGCAGCCTTGATAGGAATTTTAAAAGATAAGGAAAACTTAGGTTAACAAAATGGATAATGTAAATGAGAGTATATCTTACTCCAAGTCAATTTCATGTCATTGTTAATTATATATCTTACTAACCTTGTGCAATTGCATGGGAGAATGAAATGTAATTCAGTCATTTAAGTGTATGTAATTAAAGTGTATATGTTTTCAAGGTCAGCTGAATGACAAGATATCCTGAATTAAGGCGGGTCAGAAGCTTCAACTGGTAGAGAAGACTAAAGGAATTCTATATATACTTTTTGACCTTGAATTAGACTAGCTGGAGCTTAATGATTGCAGTCATAACAGGGGGAAAAACTTTTTAATATATGATACAAGTATGATTTGTGTATCAAATATGATTTGTTTATAAGGATATGAGCTTACGTTTTATGCATGTTCTGTAGGAAAATGGTTGATAGTTTATATGTTTGCATATAACTGTTGATAGAGTTGCGTAAATGGGCCATCTGGGACATCGGTGGGCTGTAGAGGTTAGGACTGTCCTACATTAGATAAGGAACACCCTCGTGCGCATGACATTTGTAGCAAAACCAAAGCTACATAAGAGGGAGCTGGCAAATGATTAAGTTTGTTTTGCATGCTACATTGAGTTTAAGGTAAGTACTTTCTAATAAGTTTCATAGATTAAAACCAGCTGTGTCCCCTCTGGATTTTTTTTTGTAATTGCTACAAACAGAGAATGCATTTTTATCGGGTACTGGACTTGACATAAACTAGCAAGTATTATTTTATCTCTTATAGTTGATTTTAACTGGTAAATAAGGATATTTAATGTGTGGCAAGCGCCAAATTTGATAATGGAATGGAGTGATGATTCCATGGTTACTCAAAAACCTGATATTGCATTTAGTTTAGTTCATTGAATGGTGCCATTAGTGTCTGGATATGAGTCTGATGTATAGTTGAATGATCTACACAGTGAATCATTAAATACTATAGTATTCCAAGATAGGTCTATGTACTATTTTTAGTTGTCTTTCCTGTTCTTGGGTGATCAAATTAGTTTAAACCTTGACATTGCCTTTAATGCAGTGAGGAGCTGGACCTGAACCTGACAGAAGCTGCATGGGTATGTTTTCAAAACGTTAGTTAATTGATTATGGACATTGTAGTAAACTGAACTGGTTAGATACAGGGATCAGTAATAATAGATGATCGAGCTGAAGATTATTGTATGATAACCTCATGCTAGATATGTGCCTGAGCAGTTATCAAATAGTACCAAAGTACTTTTACATAATCGTTCATGTACATTACTGCAAGATGAAATTTGCTTAATCCATATTACACAGAATCTACTAGAAGTGTGTTACCTCAATCTGTTTCTTGTTGCTCTATAGACCTAAATTCTGATGCGTAACCCTCTTTCTTGGCTTCTGTGAAGATTTGGATCCTTCTCTTCTTGTTTGTATGGCTATCTTAGAGTATTATATGTTGATAGGTTTGGATTTCTTTCAAAATTTGACATTGTTTTGCAGTTTGATCCATTAGATCCTGGATGTAAGGTCTCCAGTTCATCATTTGTTCTCATAACCACATCCCTCTGTAGATTTTTCTTGTCAGTTCTTTTGGTTCCTGATATCATCCATCATGTCTTCCTTTTCTCAGCTTGGCTTTCTACAGAGATAAGCTTCTTACATGCTAACACAACTCATAGAAATGCTCCCTGATAGGACGTAATTACTACTATTTTCCTTATTCCATATATCTAATATCTCCATTTTCAAGATACTCACGAAAATTTATTGTCTGGTTAAATAGGCGATCATAGGTGAAATGGTTAACTTAAAGATGATAGTGCTTAAACGCTAGGAATAAATGCAACTGTAATCTTTGCGGTCATTTCTAATTTCATCCATATGTTCTGTCTTTTCACCTTTTGTTTTGATGCATCTATTAAAGGAAAAGTAAGATCAAAGTCTGCCATTGAGTGATCTATACTTTGAGATGGTGTTGAATCTGAGTCAAGATTTAGAGTTTGTACAAACATTACAGCAGCCTTCAGTTCGTGAAAGGTCCAACTTTTGTATTGATATAATGCTGTACACAGGAGTTTCCTTATCCTCTTCCATTGTTATGTGAAAAATGTCTTTCATGCGCAACACTATTGGAAGGATTGTAAGAAAGGTTTTGATCTCTCATTTCTAGTCTCTTCCACTTTGAGGCGAGAAAAGGAAGGGGGAGGGTTTTTTTTCTTTTTTTTTTTGGGGGGGGCGGGGGGGGGTTGGACTTTGGCTTTCGATAGCACTTCCACTTCTATTCCATCCCAATTAGTCATTATACATAATATCAAGGCTCGGTCATTTACTATTATGATATAGCTAATTTAATTATATGCTTTATAATAATTTATTGGGATCAGTGATATGCTTCTTGCATCTTTTATTAACTTGGATGTTATGATTTGGTACTTCCCTATGGCTAAGCTTAAATGTCTATTACAGGTCTCAATCCTCCCTTCTCTGGGTTCAGTTTTCATTACCTCAATTGCGGCACCATTTGCTGACAACCTGATCTCCAACGGAGTGGAAACTACAACAGTAAGAGAGAAATTCACTGACCAGATTTCTTATTTTACGGTTGAATGTTTGATGTCTTTTTTACTTTTCTGCTTTTATATTGATAGATTAGAAGTTTGGGTTCACTTTCTTATAAATACTTGAAAATGTGGCAAAGATTATATGTATATTGCTGCCAAAACATTTTCTGATTACATGGCATCTGAAATTTCACTTTTACATCTTGTGATCAGTTGCTAATTGGTACAGGCTTGTCAAATGTAATGAAACTGGGTTATTGAAAGTAACACTTCATAGCATTATAGAAAATTTGAAGCCTGGTTTATGTTGCACACTTCTCATTTCTGCTGTCCTGGGTACATTCACGTTGAGCAGGGATATTGGGTTGTTTAATGAGTGGTATTCACTCGATTTCATTAAACCTTAGAATATAAATTAGTATGCTATCTGGGTAGGACTGTGAAACACTAATCCCTTAAAATTTATTTTCCTAATTTTGTAGGTGCGAAAAGTTTGCCAATCAGTTGCCTTTCTGTCTCCTGCACTTTGCATGACTCTTTCCTCTTTGGATCTAGGACTACCCCCATGGGAAGTTGTAGCATTTCTTACTAGTGGTTTGGCGTTATCGAGCTTTGCCTTGTCAGGTTGACTTTAAGCTTGTTCATTTCCCTGATAGTTTTAGTTTGTATTATTTTGAAGCTAACTTTGTCTCAAATATCGTATAACTGCAGGCCTCTACTGTACCCATCAAGACATATCTCCCGAATATGCAAGTATACTTCTGGTTAGTTTCATGTTTGCAGCTGTGCTGTGCTATAATCCTCTTCTAGCATGTTATAATTTCATTTTAACAGCCATCAGCACTGAATCCTAGTGTTCCAATCGATAAATTTTCTTTAATAGGTGACTAATGCTTTAAGCTCTGCAATTGATGAGTGGATTTGCTACATCACATTTTATACTATTACCATATTAGCATATTCTAGGCAATATTTTCAATTTGGCTCCTTGGCTTAGACTAGACATTAGACATTACATCGTATTATATCTTACAAAAAAAACCTGAACTATAATGATTTTTTGCATTCTCTTGGCACAGGGAATTACAAATACCGTGGGTGCCATACCTGGAATTGTTGGTGTAGCTCTCACAGGGTATCTCCTTGATTCCACACATTCATGGAGTGTAAGTCGTCTTTGGATTTTTTTTTTTTGTCCCCTTTTGCTGATTTCCCCCCATTTCTCTGTTATAGCAATTGTATGAATGGCTTAGCGATTATCCCGTTGTGCTGCAGATATCATTGTTCGCTCCATCAATTTTCTTCTATTTATCAGGAACAGTTGTATGGCTGCTCTTTGCCAGTAGTAAGCCCCAGAGGTTTTCCAAGGGAGATTGATGCATGTCAAAATCTTAGCATATCCCTACAAACCGAAGAAAATTTTGCTCTCGGAGAGGATAGTTTTCGTTTCCCCCCCTCCAAAGCAGTTGTTAGAAGAGTGTCACCATGATCTTCGTCTCTTCCCGCTAACAGGATGTATATAAAGTTCATGGGAGAGTCTGAGAAGACGAAAGAAACACGCTAAGAAAATGTAAATTTTGTATTTAACCATATAGTGTATAAATTGTGATTGTTTTAAGTGCTTGCCATAGCGATCTTATTCTTTTCGTCCATGGCATTAGCTTGATGCGTATGACTTTCTTAACTTTGGATTTCTTTGCTTTTTTTTTGTAATCGTATCTTGTCACTCAAAAAGGTTTTGGTTAGAAACGACTCCGAAATTATATAATTCATTCATGTTAAACTATGTACACAGTAAAATATGAGAATAAGTGCGGATCATATTCATAGAAAAGAGCTGTTGGTAGCTATGAGACAAGTTGTGTGCTCGCTGAGCTGTTGGTAGTTACGAGGATAGTGTAAAAAAGTGGGTCCCAATGTCAGCTTTCATCACTTTCAATTGTTTGTTTGTAGTTGTGAAAATAGTGTAAAGTGATTTCATATGCTGATGTGGCTTGTAAAGTGATTTTATAAAAAAAAGACATAATTTTAGGAGAAAGTTGACATTGAAGTTAGGAAAAAATAATAAAAAATAATTCCAACCAATATGATCATTTGAGTAGAGATCATTTTTTACACTTTCCAAACAAACAATTAAAGTTACATTTACTAACCAAACAAGCAATTTATGATTTTAATAGAATTAAAAACAAAGAAAGAAAAATATAAAAGTAAAATTGATGAGGTGGACAACAACTTTTTAAGTTGTGTCATAAATACACAACTTTACCAACAACCAAACAGCCCCTAACACGTTTACTATTGGCCCATGTTGGGCTTCTCTTGCTGCCTCCGAGATGCTGGGCCTTACTTAACCAAACGTTTGTTTCGACAGTCAGGGTCGAAAATGTAAACCAACAGGTCGCAAATACCGCAATCCGATTAGACTTTTATGTAAAATTCCCAACTATATTCGCGTAATCCCAACGCCATTCACCCTCTCTCAGCTATCAACAGCGGCGGTATAATGCTCCGCCGCAAACCCTCGAAGATCGAAGTGAAACCCGACGACAAAGAAGAGCTCGATCTCCTCCGCCTCTCCAAACTCCACCAAAACCCTAACCCTAACCCTACCTCCTCCTCCTCCTCCTCCTTCCTCCACAAGCTCCTCGATCCCCTCTCCCCCTCCTCCAAATCCCACCGCATCGGCCTCCCCAAGCCCTAGCCCTAGCCCTAATGGAGGTCGAGATCAAGCTCCGCCTCCCCTCCGCCGCCGCCCATCAACTCCTCTCCGATGCCCTTGCCCCCTTCCACCTCAAGACCCACCTCCAAGAGAACATCTTCTTCGACACCACCGCCTCGGACCTCGCCGCCGCACTCGCCGCCCTCCGCATCCGCTTCTACGACGGCGACTCCAAGTGCGTCCTCTCCCTCAAAGCCCGCGCCAAGCTCGTCGACGGCGTCAGCCGCGTCGAGGAGGATGAGGAGGACATCGACCCCTCCGTCGGCCGCGAAGCTGTTGCGGACCCCAAAAAGATGAAGTCTTTGCTTGGGGAGACGGGGATTTTGAAGAGGGTTTTTGAGGAGATTGGGATTAATGGGGAGTTTGTTTGCTTGGGAGGGTTTAGGAACGTCAGGGCGGTTTACCGGTGGGAGGACGGTTTGATATTGGAGCTGGATGAGACGCAGTATGAGTTTGGGACGAGTTACGAGATTGAGTGTGAGACGAAGGAGCCAGAGAGGGTTAAGGTGTTGCTTGAAGGGTTCTTGAACGACAAAGGGATTCCTTATGAGTACTCGAGAGCGTCCAAGTTTGCTGTTTTTAGATCTGGGAAGCTTTTGCCCTAAAGTGAGTTTTCTTTCTCTTTCACGTTTGATTTGATGCGTTGTTGATGATTGTGAGTTTTAATGTTGGTTTAAAATATTATGCTTTTTGTTGTTATGGGGTTAGGATAAATTAAAGCTTGTCCTAATGGTTACATGACGGGGTCAATATGATATGCTACGTCTTTGTATTATAGTGATGGAAGAGTGAAAACCAACCTTCTTATCAAGCTTATAGAAAGCGCTAGGCGGCCTAGGCATTTGACCTGATACCTAGAGCGCGTTTTCCTTTTTTTTTAGTTTTTGATTATGATTATTGATAGTAAATGCTAATGTTATAAAAAGATTAGATGCCGGACTAACACCTAGACATATTTTTTGAGTGGTAGTGGAGGAGGTTTTGCTAAAAAGGTCGGGAGAGTTAGAGGAGCTGTACATAGTTGGAGTTTGGAGGAGGTTGGAGGGCATGGAGGCCGCAATGGAGGAAATCACGATCAATGTCCATATAGGTAAATCATGTTCTCCTAGGTTCTCCTAAAACTTAGGTGGGCAGCCTAGGTATTGCTTAGGTGCTATGCGCTAGATAGACGACCAGGGTATCGCACAGGCCTAGACGTATGCTTAGGCGAACGAGGCAGAGGCTTTTTAAAACATTACTTCTTAGGTTCGAGATGTCTCTTTCGCCTTGGTGTCTAGAAAAAAATTGATGCCCTTGAATACAAAATATTATTGAGATTTTTTACTGTTTGAATTGGAACCTTTGAGGGTGTTCGATAATTTTGTACTATAATGCTAGTGAGATGAAGCCTTTGTTTCTAGTTTGTACATATAGAAGGTTTGAAGTTGCTAACCTAGTAAAATTTATGGGCACTTCAGCGATTTGCACTATAAATCTTGTGAATGCACTTTTATTCCGTCCTTGTAGAATATTGATAAAACAATGGTACGTGTCATATATATTATTAGTGTCTCAAAAGATACAGTTAATTGCTTGGCAACTTTACGTTTGCTTTGTTAAACTTGGTCTTTTTTCTTGAAGGATGCAAATGCACATATGGTCTTATGAAATATAAGTAAGTGAATCGGTAATTAGACCTTTTTTGATCTTAATGTTTCATGGTCCAGCTTGAATGAAACAATTTAGATTCTTTTAATGTGACTTTTTAGAAAGTTTCATCACCTTATCATAATTTAAGAAATATTACGCATGTGATGATAACAAGCGGGCAACAAGCTGCGTCGCTAATCCTTTCTGAGTTACAAAACCCAACCTACGAAACACGTACTCAGCGGACCCTGCTGTCGTTACATTCTTATTCATGAATTTTTGTACTCTCCTAAGAAACTCCACCGTATCAGCTATAAGGAAACCAAACGTATCGAAAGCGAACGGGATAAAGTTGTGGTGGTTGTCCTTGCAAGCTTGATCATGTTTGCCCACTTTTGCCTCTGTTGCTCTATCCGCTGCCTGTCCAACCTTGAACTCTCCATTACCAAACCCCCACCAACGGAGATACCCCTGTGAGACTTTTAGATGTCATTTTTTAGAGAGTTGTTGTAACGCCCCTCATCTGGGAGGTACATAAAAATTTGAGCATGACCTACCTATCTGTAATAAGAAGGGTCGACCTGCTAAATCTTTATGCACATCACAACATAGATATACTGATGTGCGAAAAATAAAACAGTGAAGATGCATATGCAATACTCAGGATCACGAGGTTGACAGCAGAGTCCATAGAATATCAAAATAGAAGAGAACTAAAGGGTAATACAAAATATTACAATAATAGCAGTGGCTACAACATTAATACATGTTTTATAAGTCAAAAGTACTACAAAAGTGAATATAAATTAACCCCTATTAAGATTTTCCTCCTGAGCTAATCTTCAAATTCAGGGTCTGCAATGCCCTTATCCTTGCCAGTTGTATGACCTACGAGTGGATTCAGAAACAATAGGGGTGAGCCTAAGACCCAATAGGTAACCATAAAAATCTCGGGTACAATTCAAGGGAATGAATGAAAATGATAGACATAGATATCAAACTTGAACAAAGGGATCTTAACATTAAGTTGCCATTCTTATATCATAATCATTGATCGAAGTGAAATAACATGTAAAGATGAATAATCAAGGTCTAATATTTAGGATTCCAAACTCCCCAATCATGGGATAATCAATAAACTGAGCATGCCTTTATACACCCACCGGTGAGCGTCCTCACACAGGGCATTATCCCACCGGGACACTTTACCATTACCACCCACCGGTGAAGCTTACTTCACACAGGGCATAATCCATGAATATAGACAATCAATCATCAACAAAGAGAGGAATACTATCATTATCAATAGTTGAACCATCGAATCAATTCGAATTGTTGCAATAAAATCATTCAAGGATATCGAAGGTATAAAACTGAAATAAACAACATTAGGATAGCAATGATTAACCAATCAACAACGAGCCTATGCATAAGGTGAATCAAATAGGAATATTATGAAAGTGATAAGATATACAATTAGCATGAGAAACTAACTCGTAGGAATTTCAAGAAAGTAATCAATTGAACTCTCAAAGACTTTAGAGGAAACAATGAAAGGTTACCTACCGATTATGCCGGGGTCCTCTCAGCCAACGAATGAATCCAAGATTCTCTGTCCTATATATACATATATACCCACATGAGATTCTAGACACTATGCCTTTTAAAATTTCTAACTTAAAGCTTACATCATGGTGTAAACTACACCCTAGATGATTATCTAATATCTCTAATATGCACAGCAACACAAGTAGGATACATGCAGCAGATTTAGGTGAATGAATTGTATAACAATTGATGTCCAGAATACATGAAACTAGTCCCAAATGACTCCATTATGAGTCTAATTTCATAATATAAAATTTTTACATCAATGCTCTCAGAAAACTATACCTATCAAAACTGTAGCAGAAAAACAGAGATCACTGTTTGGAATGAATAATTTATTTCGGGTACTTAACTATATCCCAAAGAGCTCGTACTTGGTATGTAAGTAATATCATGGATTAGCTTCCATGTCCCATGAGTTTCATCAATTTTCCATTTTTAAAATACATGTTACATGCAAAACAACACAGGGGGTAGACTGGAATTTCCAGCACATATACTAGCTATTAGAACTAGGATTAGACCTACCAAACGTTATTCAAATTAATTCAAACTCATATCAACAGAAAGGCAATTGAGTCTAGTTTTAGGAATAGAAAGAATTTCATGCATGCATGGTATATGTTGAGATATATGCTCTTTACAAAGGACATGACTCAGGCAGACAGTTTCAGACACATGTACTGCATTAAATCATACTTTCAGACTAGTAAATGATTTTAGAATTAAACAAACAGGATCTCAAATGAAAGCCACGAAAGTCTAGTTTCTAGAACAGAAATAATTTCATCATTTGAATATATACAAAGAAAGTTATGATCGTTTTACTAGGAGAGTATCATGCTGGAAATTTCTGTACGAATTTCTGTTTCAACATAAAATTGACATGCAACCCATATTTACACTAATCCAAAGTAAGATGATTAATACTTGATCACATAAGGCTTATAAACCAGTAAAAATTATATTTTATATACTCATAGATATAAAGATCATGTTTTTAACTAATTATGGACATGCAAGGGCTAATCCTTGCTTCAAAGTAACATGCAAATGATAAAATCCTCACATGCAAAGCCAAAATCAAATTAGATCATATAATTTCAGTTTAATATCCTTAATAACAACATGAAAAAGAAAATTTATTCCTAGGGTTGAGACTTGCTCCACTTTCTCCTCTAAAATCCTCCACTATCTTCTTTCTCCTCTCCTTCTTCAATCTTTAGAACTTAAGAGATGATGCTTATGAAAATCTATGAAATCTTTTTTTTTTAACAAGAGGAGATGAGCTTGGGACGTTCAGAGGAGAGGGAGTAGGTTTTGGAGTGATTTTTCTTCTTTTATGGCAAAAAGAAGTGGAGTGCACACACATATATATATAGGCCATGTGAAGAGAAATCTTCAATTTGGCCAAAGTTGAGGGGTTTTATGCAAATTTTCCCCACTAACATGGCTGAACAAATATAATAACTATGTTAATTAGAGAGTTTCACATTAGGTATTTAATAATTTGGTTATCTCTAATCAAGGTTTAAAGCATGGTTAATTTAGGTTTACATGCTAAGTTTGTATGCATGCTATGACTTAGTTAACTAGATCATAATATGAAAATTGTCTAAGTTAAAATCCTCATGCTAGAAGATTATATGAGATACAAAAAGGAAAGAATTACTAATTTATAGGTAGGTATTGATAATGGTATCCGGTCATCGGAAGGGGAAAAAAGAAATGTAAGCCAGATGACGGAACGGGGAGACCTAGGATGTAGAAGATCATACATGAGTGATTCGACAGATTTGGATTCCTATATATCCACTCGAGTGCTAGGCTTTAAGGAGAAGCAGCTGAGAAACAAGATTATATTGCTAGTTAAAGTGTTATGGAATAATCGAGGCGTTGAGGAGGCAACATGGAAACTAGAATTTGAGATACGTAAAGTATATTCGCATTTATTTTGAGGGTACGTAAAAATTTCGGGGACGAAATTTCTTTAAGGGGGGAAGCATGTAACATTTCTTTTTTCCCCTTCTGATGATCGGATACCATTATCAATACCTATCTATAAATTAGTAATTCTTTCCTTTTTGTATCCCATATAATCTTCTAATATGAGGATTTTAACTTAGACAATTTTCATATTATGATCTAGTTAACTAAGTCATAGCATGCATACAAACTTAGTATGTAAACCTAAGTTAATCATGTTTTAAACATTGATTAGAAATAACCAAATTATTAAATACATAATGTGAAACTCTCTAATTAACATAGTTATTATATTTATTCAGCCATGTTAGTGGGGGAAATTTGCATAAAACCCCTCAACTTTGGCCAAATTGAAGATTTCTCTTCACATGGCCTATATATATATATGCACTCCACTTCTTCTTTTTGCCATAAAAGAAGAAAAATCACTCCAAAACCTCCTCCCTCTCCTCTGAACGTCCCAAGCTCATCTCCTCTTGTTCAAAAAAAAAAAAAGAGTTTTCATAGATTTCCATAAGCATCATCTCTTAAGCTCTAAAGATTGAAGAAGGAGAGGAGAAAGAAGATAGTGGAGGATTTTAGAGGAGAAAGTGGAGCAAGTCTCAACCCTAGGTATAATTTTTCTTTTTCATGTTGTTATTAAGGATATTAAACTGAAATTATATGATCTAATTTGGTTTTGGCCTTGCATGTGAGGATTTTATCATTTGCATGTTACTTTTAAGCAAGGATTAGCCATTGCATGTCCATAATTAGTTAAAAACATGATCTTTATATCTATAAGTATATAAAATATAATTTTTACTGGCTTATAAGCCTTATGTGATCAAGTATTAATCATCTTACTTTGGATTAGTATAAATATGGGTTGCATGTCAATTTTATGTTGAAACAGAAATTCGTACATAAATTTTCAGCATGATACTCTCCTAGTAAAACGATCATAACTTTCTTTGTATATATTCAAATGATGAAATTCTTTCTGTTCTAGAAACTAGACTTTCGTGGCTTTCATTTGAGACCCTGTTTGTTTAATTCTAAAATCATTTACTAGTCTAAAAGTATGATTTAATGCAGTGCATGTGTCTGAAACTGTCTGCCTGAGTCATCTCCTTTGTAAAGAGCATATATCTCAACATATACCATGCATGCATGAAATTCTTTCTATTCCTAAAACTAGACTCAATTGCCTTTTTGTTGATATGAGTTTGAATTAATTTGAATAACGTTTGGTAGGTCTAACCTAGTTCTAATAACTAGTATATGTGCTGGAAATTCCAGTCTACCCCCCTGTGTTGTTTTACATGTAACATGCATTTTAAAAATGGAAAATTGATGAAACTCATGGGACATGGAAGCTAATCCATAATATTACTTACATACCAAGTGCGAGCTCTTTGGGATATAGTTAAGTACCCGAAATAAATTATTCATTCCAAACAGTGATCTCTGTTTTTTGCTACAATTTTGATAGGTGTAGTTTTCTGAGAGCATAACTCTTACTATACACCATGCATTGATGTAAAAGTTATATTCTGAAATTAGACTCATAATGGAGTCATTTGGGACTAGTTTCATGCATTCTGGACATCAATTGTTATGCCATTCATTCACCTAAATCTATTGCATGTACCCTACTTGTGTTGCTGTGCATATTAGAGATATTAGATAATCATCTAGGGTGTAGTTTACACCATGATGTAAGCTTTAAGTTAGAAATTTTAAAAGGCATAGTGTCTAGAATCTCATGTGGGTATATATGTATATATAGGACAGAGAATCTTGGATTCATTCATTGGCCGAGAGGATCCCGGCATAATCGGTAGGTAACATTTTATTGTTTCCTCTCAAGTCTTTGAGAGTTCGATTAATTATTCATATTTCAAAATTCGTGATTTTGATCTGGCTATAATCCATGATTTTTTTTCGTTTATATTTGTTCCGCTGTAATATCATCTAATTATGCTGCGTTCAAATTTCGTGATATTCGTGAGTTATACCCACAATTATCCGTTTTTTCCATTTTAATCCAATGACGATTAAAATGAGCGTACTATCAAATTAATGATTTTCGTTGATTATAATCCACGATTTTTGTAAATTTTCCCATTTTGATCCAATGATAATTAATTATATATGTATTTCAAAATTTGCGATTTTGATGTTCTACAATCCATGATTTTTATCCATTTTTTCTTCATTTCGACTCAGTGCAATCAAATTTTCTTTCTTAAGAATTCGGATTGTACATGGGTTATAACCCAAGATTTCGGTCTATTTTCGCCCGTTCGACCCAATAACAATTATTTGTGATTTCGTGGGGGCACAACCCACAATTTGTCCATTTTCGTTCGTTTTATCCCGATGGCTCATGGCTCTTGATTTTGTCAATTTTGTTCATTTCATCCTAACAACCAATAACTGTGTAGTTTGAAATTCACGATTTGGTGGGCTATATTTCACGAATTTTGTTCATTTATGTTTCGATCCAGTGACAACTGATTGTCCAATTTAATCACGATTTCCATGGGCTGTAACCCATAATTTTTGCCACTTCTTGTTCGTTTCAATTCGATGGATATCAATTATATGTACTTTAAAATTTGCAAATTTGTGGCCTACACTACCCATAATTTTGCCCATTTTGTGCATTTTGACCCAATGATTGTTAATTACACATACTTGAAAATTTGTGAAGCACGATTGTACTCTGAGAGTATTCTTTCTTGCGTGCGATCTTTAAAAAAGTATTAAGGATTTTCTTAATTAAAATAATTGTTACATAATAGATAATGAAACTTAATACTACTGAGTAACGGGGACAAATGTGTACGATGATTTTGTGAAGATATGTTTTGAGAGTAATATGCGGCTTCATCGACTGTTGCAGGTCATCTGAGAAAATATTAGCAGATTAGCGAGCAGAGTTGCAGCAGGTGCGGCTGCAAATCAAAGTGGGAGAATAAATCCTTATCCGTTGTAATGGTATGCAAAATTATGTGAAACGTACACACGGCAAATTATTAGAGTTGGCTTCTGGAAGCCTGATGAGCGGTAATCAAAATCTTTTGTTGTCATAATATTATGGGCGAATGTGTTGCTCTTGTTCTGTGGAACCTTTTTACAAGCTGTTAGGGAGAATAATAAAGATTAAATTGAGCTTATTTTGTGTTTTACATGTATCTAATTATTGTGGTGTAGGTAGATACAATTTCAACTTATGCCTCATGCTCATGTGGTGTATTGTGAAAATTTGAGTCCAGGTATTCTCTACGAGTAATGTGAGCTAATACTGTTGGTTTATACTTTATATTAGTGGATACCGCAATTAAAAATTTTGCCCCTTCTTGACTCCCCTATGAATTATATATACTAATGGGAATTCATTAGCTGGAAGAGACAAGGATCAACGCTGATGCAGTCTTCTAACTGCTTTGGAGGGGAAAACAAAATGGAAACTGTCCTCTCCACGAGCAAAATAAAGATGAGAAGAAATAATAGTGCGTAATATTATGTCAGTTGTTTCCACAATTATCTCTAAGGCATAATAGCCTAACCCGAGGAGCCAAAATAAAAATATTAGCTAGAAAACACTAATATGGAGATAGTAGAAAATTGATGTAGCAAATCAGCTCACCACTTACACCTTAAAGCAATAATCACCTATTAAAGGAAAATTTACTGCTTGAAACACTAGAAAATAATTAAACGAAGTTAAAAAATTCATTATTTTCTTGACCTATAATCCACGATTTTTGTTGATTTTTTTTATCATTTTGAGTAAATGGTAAATAATTATGCAGAGTTTAAAATTTGTGATTTCATAACCTATATAATTCCTAATTTTTATCCATTTTTTGTTCGCTTCTACCTAATAGAAAATAATTAAATGGAGCTTGAAATTCACAATATTCATGAGCCACAACCCATGATTTTAATTTATTTTTTATTGTTTCGACCAAATAGCACTTAATTATGTGGAGTTTAAAATTCACGATTTCATGAGCTATATAATTCACGATTATTGTCCATTTTTTCATCATTTAGAGCCAATGGTAAAAAAATTTAGGAAAAATTGTGTCAATGCCCCAAGGATGAAAACCCAATGGGTCTTAGACCTTTGTATAATTTCCCGAGTGCTTTAAACCCTAAAAACATTAAAAAAAATTCTAGTCAAACCCCTACAGCCTAAGACTACCTTTTACATGTACGTATTTCACCGTAAATCCCTAATTTATCCTTCTCTCTCCACAATCCTACATCCTCTCCATTGCTATCCACCCTCTCCATTAGCTCATTGTTTATTTGTTAAGCTATTTATGGATTTAGATGCTGGGGGTTTAAACTCTTACGTGGAAATTTACACTGAGTTTGGATATAAATTGGGATGATGCTAAAGGATTGTGTTGTTGGAATTGAGGAGATGAATGTATCTTCTTGGAATCCTATGTGTTAAAAATTATTGAAATATAGGATATTAGAGGATGCCAAGAAGTTGTTTGATGAAATGCTGAAGAGAAATATTTTCTTGGACTAGTACGATTGTATTGAAGGTTAGTCATTTGCTGATGGTGTCGTGCATAAGTTAAGAACATGGTATTTTTTACAAGAGAATCCTATTTAGTTTTTATTCATACAAAAGGAAGATTGGATGTTAATGTTAACTCTTGGATTTTAAAATTATTATTTGTATGTTGAAAAGATCTCTTTTTTAAAAATAAAATTATCAGTTATAACTCATGAAAATCGAGAATCTTGAACTCTAATTATTTATTTGCAATTTGGCCAAAACAAATGAAAAAGGGAAAATTTGTGGGTTATAGATCATGAAAATTAAAAATTTTGAATTCCAATTATATATTTATGAATTGGCCGAGACAAAGGAAGAGCGACTAGAATCGTTGGTTATAGCACATGAAAATTGAAAATATTGTACTCTAGCTAATTATTTATGTTTTGGTCAATCATTTTTGTTCATTTTCTATCATGTAGGCCAAATCACCAATAATTAACCAGAGTTTATAATTATTGATTTTCATGAGCTATAACCCATGATTTTTTATTTTCATTCATTGTGGCCAAATCACAATTAAATAATCAAAGTTTAAAATTCTCAAATTTCATGAACTACAACCCATGATTTTTTTTTCCATTTTCATTTTTTTAACCAAATAGTAAATAAATAACTAGAGTTCAAAATTCTTATTTTTTATGAGCTATAATTCATAATTTTTGTCTATTTTATTTTTTAGGCCAAATCTCAAATAATTAACTGGAGTTCAAAATTCTCAATGTTCATGATCTATAATTCATGAATTTTTTCTACTTGCTTCGTTTTGACCAAATCACAAATAATTGACCGAGGTTCAAAATTCTCGATTTTAATGAGCTATAAATAATATTTTGTCCATTTTAATCCCTTTCAGTCAGATCTCAAATAAATAATTAGAGTTTAAGATTCTCAATTTTTATGAGCTATAAGTTTTGTTCATTTTGTATATTTCAAACAAATTGTCAATAATTAACTAAAGTTTAAAATTCTCGATTTTCATGAGGTATAACGCATAATTTTGTCCATTCCATTAATTTTGGCCAAATCACGAATAAATAATAAGGTCTCAAAGTTCTTAATTTTTATGATTTTTAAAATTTTTATTTTATTTCACCAAATCGCTAATAAATAATTAAAGTTTAAAATTCTTGATTTTTATGAGCTATAACCCATGATATTTGTCCACTTCATCCATTTCGACAAAATCATAACTACTTAAGTGGGGTTCAAAATTCTTGATTTTAATGATCAATAACCCATAGTTTTGTCTATTTTTGTTTATTTAGTGCCAATCATAAATAAGTAACCATAAGTCAAAAGTTTCATGAGCTATAACCACAAATTTTATCCATTTTTGTTCATTTCAATTAAATCACAAATAAGTAATCAGAGTAAAAAATTCTCGAATTCGTGAGCCATAACTCATAATTTTTGTCCATTTTTATTTATTTTGGCCAAATCGCAAATAATTAATCATGGTATAAAAATCTCAAGTTTCATGAGCTATGACCCATGATTTTTTTTATTTTCATTCATTTCGGTTTAAATTGTAAATAAATAATCATAGTTCAAAATTATCAATTTTCATAAGATAACCCACGATTTCTTTCCTATTTTATTTATTTTGATCAAATTGTCCATAGATGAGCAGAGTTCAAAATTTTTTAATTTTATAAGTCTATAATGCACTATTTTTATTCATTCCATTATTTCCAAATTGCAAATAAATAATCAAAGCTTAAACTTCTTGATTTTCATTAGTCATAAGCAACGATGTTTATTTTTTATTTTAATTCATTTTGAGCAAATCATAAATAACTGAGTAGGGTACAAAATTCTCGATTTTTATGAGCTATAATCCATAATTTTTGTCCAATTTTTCCAACCAAATCACAAATACTTAACCATAGTTGAAAATTATCGATTTTTATGAGTTATAACCCAAAACTTTTGTCTATTTTTATTCATTTTTGGCCAAATCAAAAATAAATAATTGGAGTTCGAAATTATTTATTTTTTGTCATGAGCGATGACCCATAATTTCTATACATTTTCACATAGTTTGGTCAAATCGCAAACAACTAATCGAAGTTAAAAATTCTTCACTTTCATAGGCTATGATTCACAATTTTTTTTCCATTTTCATACGTTTTGGCCAAATTGCAAAGGCTAATTGGAGTTTAAATTCTCGATTTTCTTGAGCTATAACGCATAATTTTTGTCCATTTTTATTCGTCTTAGCCAGATTGCAAATAACTAACCAGAGTTCAGAATTCTCGGATTTCATGAGCTATAACACATAATTTTTTACAATTTTTTTTATTTTGGTCAAATCGCAAATAAATAATTGGAGTTTAAAATTCTCAATTTTCTTCAGCTTTAACTTTTGATTTTTGTCCATTTTTATTCATTTCGGCCAAATTGCCTCTAAATGACCAGAGTTAAAATTTCTCAATTTTCATGAGCTATAACTGATATTTTTGTCAACTTTTATTTACCTAGGCCAAATTGTAAGTAATTAACTAGAGTTTTCTTGATTTTAATGAACTATAACTTGTAGTTTTTGTCAATTTCCGTACGTTTTGGAAAAATCACAAGCAATTAGTCATAGTTGAAAATTCTCAATATTCATGAGCTATATCCCATTTTTTTTGTCCCTCGTCATTCATTTTGACCAAATTGAAAATAAATAATCATAGTTCAAAATTCTTAATTTTCATGAGATATAACTCATGATTTTTGTTGATTTTCATTTATTGAGGCCAAATCACAAACAATTAATCGGAGTTCAAAGTTCTAGATGTTCATGAGTAATAATCCACCACTTTTTCCCACTTCATTCGTTTTGACCAATTAAAAAAATTGACTAGGATTCAAAATGCTCAATTTTCATGAGCTACATCAAAGAATTTTGTCCATTTTTCATTTGTTTCAACCAAATTACAAATAAATAATCATAGTTCAAAATTCTTAATTTTCATGAATATAACCAATAATTTTGCTCCATTTTAATTTGGCCAAATCAGAAATAATTAATTGGATCTCAAAATTCTTAATTACAGGAGCTATAACCCACAATTTTTTATCTATTTTTCATTCGTTTCAGCAAAATTGTAAATAAATAATCAGAGTTGAAAATTATCGATTTTTGTTAGCTATATCTCGCTATATCTCACAATTTACTTCCATTTTCATTTTAGCCAAATCAAGACCAAGATTAAAAATTCTTGATATTCATGAGCTAAAACTCATGATTTTTGTTCATTTCCATTCGTTTTAGCCAAATAACAAATAAATTATCTGAGTTTAAAATTCTCGATTTTCATAGGCTATAACTCGCGATTTTTCGATCAATTTTTGTTCATTTAAGTCAAATCACAAATAATTAAACGGAGTTTAAATTTCTCAACTTTCATGAGTTATAATCCATAATTTTTTTTCCACTTTGTTCATTTCGACCAAATTAGAAACATCCAATCGGATTGAAAAATTCTCAATTTTCATGAGCTATAACCCACTATTTTTGTCCATTTTTATTCTTTTCAATCAAATCGCATATGATTAGCAAGAGTTCAAAATTCATGATTTCATTAGTTATAAGCCACGATTTTTTTAGTTATCATTAATTTTGACCAAATCACAAATAGTTAACTAGAGTTCAAAATTCTTGATTTTCATGAACTATAATCCTTGAATTTTGTCCACCTCATTCGTGTCGATAA